GGTGGCCGAAGGCCGCCCCCTTGCATCCGCCCGTGTGTGTGTGTGTGTTCCATTCGTTATATAACGATTATGAGTCTATTACTTGATATTTTACACACACACACACACGCACGCACGCACGCACGGGCGGGTGCAAGGGGGCGGGCTTCGGCCACCCCCCCGCACCCACACCGTCGACAGAGGTCTGCCCCGACAGTACTATCATAGCAACAGTACAATCGTAGAAGTCGAGTGCCCCTGTGAAGAGGGGGGGTTAAAGTTACTTCACGTGGAAAGTTTAACGTTTCTACACAGGAGGAGATGTAAAATAGTACTTGTTATAATACATATATGGCAGAAATGATACGTTAATACGTATAATTTCCCAGAAATAATACGTTAATTTCGAAACTTTTTTTGATCGTAACTTTTTAACGGACAGCGACCGCCACCTAAAACATGCGGGAGGTCACTCAAGGTCATGACCTTGACAACATATGTCAAGGTTAAGATCATCGGAGCTGGATCCCCTAAAGTGAACATTTGTCTTGTATTATACAAAATTATACCTTTAAGTCTAAATATCTCAGAAACTATAAGAGACCGCCGCCTATAGTTTTTAAGGCAAAGTTACTCAGAATCATGACCTTATTGACAACATATGTCAAGGTCATCGGTGAGGTGTCCCCTAATCTAAATAATTACCTTATTTTCCAATAAATAAAAAGTTCTCGGTGTCATACGAAAATGTTCTTTGAATTGTCGTGCCGTGAATCTAGGTACTACATTATTTACGTAATTTTCTATTCGGATAACTTTTTTTGTTCGTCCTCTTAATCGAGAAAATTGCGTACGAATAATTATGTTTAATAATTCTTCCGTTTCACTTTCGCTTTCGCTACTTAAATCCAAAGCTAAAGCAGTTTTTAATATATCATTACTCGCAGTGTTTATTAATAAAACTTCTTCCATTTTATTGACTAAGTTTCCACCAAAGGTTAGAATTGGGTTAGAGTTCAAGAACTGACCAAATCGAGCATTCCTCTCTCATTTGACTGTAAGATGGGAAACTGGCCTGTCTGAAATTAAAAGAAGCAATTATACAGATTCTTGGATCGTAATTTATTAAACAATACCACAAAAAATGTCAACATAAATAATTTACGAATAAATTATCTTTTAGTACAATTGATTTGCCGCCACATGTATGTACATACGTTACTCTAACCATGGTGGAAATATACAAGGTGTGTTGTTGCGCATAATGGCGGCAAAGAGTGGGGGACAAATGTAGTCAGCCAATCACTTATGACCCATTGTGCACGCGCGGAATTTGACCGTGGCTTCGTTAGTTGCCTTTCTATGTATTTTGTTTTGAAATGCACTTCGCATACCCGTTCTGAAGGTACACCCACGGTAATTAATTCTGTCCCTCGGAATTTTCACAAAATAAAAAATGACCACCTTTCTATATTAATTGTCACAATCCATGCACGATTAACGTTACGACTGAATCTTATCGTGCATGAATAGTGACAATTAATATAGAAAGGAGGTCACTTTTCATTTTGTGAAAATTTCCGAGGGACAGAATCAATTACCGTGGGTGTACATTTTGTTACAATTATTGTAATAAAAAATACGCTAATGACATGTATAATTTTAAATTGTTATATGTACACATTCATACCATGTTTAATCTAAGTATTGACATTTATGCCACAAGCCTTGAGCCATTTCGACACAAATCGGTATCTTTTGGGAATGTATAAAACATTAAATTGTTACTAAATACACAAGAACTGCGATTTATACAGTTCTTGATACAACAGGTCGGCATGCTGTCTGAAAAATATATACTTATTACATATTGTATCTACTAACCTCTATTATTATATTGCATATTATATTATATACATTACATATTCTGAACAAAACCTTCATATAATTCGTTTATTACTTACACAATAATTTTCTTCTTCTTTCTCTACACAATTATAGTCGTAATAACATACGTTAT